CCCCCCCCCACATTTCATAATGATCAAGTTTGTATTAATCCTCATTTACCCTCTCAAAAAACATATTAGAAATGTTGTACATTATTTAAGAATTTGTAGTATTTAATCATTTCCATTTCAGAATTGTTATGTGGTCCCCCTCAGCGCCACCCGTTTGGAAGCCGCCGCTAATAAACCAACCAACAGGAGGTGCTGTTCAAGAATAATGGCAGCATTTTACGGGGACAGTAAGTAATTTCGTAGATTTTCTTCTAACATTTTCTTTTCCCCAATTTGAAATCAATGATCAATAGGCAGCTAATACTTCCTGCCATAAAACTGGTCTTAGTTCAACCTTTTTTTCGACTGACCTGATGACTGATGGAAACCATCAATACTAGCCATCACGGACTCAAGAATTGGTTTAATCTTCTGCTGATCGCTGTCTTCGTCCGAGTTAGCGGCCTGCTCCTCCTCCTCCTGCTCTTCATCACTGGAGGAAAACTCCTCCTTGGTTTTAGCCTTTTCTTTCTGTGACCGCCGTTTCCTCTCGAATGACCTTTTAGGGCCTTTCTTGCCCTCTTTACTGGATTCACTCGCTTCCTTTTTGACACCTTTGGATGTTTTTTTCCCACTGTCGATCTTGGACAGGCTTTTCATCTGTTTCTCAAGATCAGAGTTGTGGTTCGAGGAGTCCGATTCTCTGCCCTTCTTTTTTTTGGCCCTCCTTTTGTTTGCTGTTGATGACTTGCCGCTCTGTTCTGAATCCGAGGAGCCCATATCGAGTTTACGCTTTGGCTTTGCTTTTGCTTTCTCAGCAGAGCGGGAAGCTACCTTCTTCTTCTTGGTACCTTTTCCAGAAGCGTTCTCGGGTTCGCTCTCATCAGAGCTGGCCTTCAAGGCAGCCGTCTGCAGGACCTCAGGGACTTCATCCGAGTCTGAATTGCACTGCTCCTTCACTGCATCGCTGCGCTCTTCTTTAGCCCTTGATGACCTCGGTTTGCGTTTGCACTTCGCCTCTGGTGACTTGCGCAGCGGTGTGGTCTTCATCCTGGGAGAGCGTCTGCTATCTTGAGCCTCCTTTGGCAAGTCTTCTGAAGGCGACTGTTCTTGGCTCTTATCTCGTTTTATGGTGATTTTAAGAGGAACAGGTGTTAGTTTGACAACAAGTTTTCTACCCAGTTTTGTTAGGCTCTTATTGGATTCCACAACCCCAGCATTGGACGTTGATTTCCAATCACTGGAACCAGTCGAGTTGCTATCGTCACGGTCTTCTTTCTTTACCGCAAGACTCTCGACCATCTCAAAGAGTTCCTCTGGGACAGACGGTGGAATAGACACGATGTCTTTATCAAGAGATGCTTCCCCAGCTGGCACTGGGTTTTCCTCAAAGTTAGGGTTATCTGCCATTTCTTGAGCTTCACTTTCTTCAGACCGATCCTGAGGTTCTTCTGGAGAGGGTGGAAGGCTCTCCTTCATTTCAACATCAGCCGAGTTACTTTCCTGTTGGTTTTCATCTTGGTCCTTGGCGGTGCAATCCAAACCATCTTCTCTGACAGGAGCAGGGTCCGAGTTAACAATGGTATGATCTGTTTGACTGTGTGCCGGTCTTTGCTCCTCTCCGTTTTGAAACTTGAGGCCTTTCGATTCAAATTCTTTTTCGAGTGATTCCTCCAGAGCCACGTGGGCCTTTTTCAGATCGGCCAAAACCGATTTGAAGGCCTTTAAGTGTCTATTACTTACGGCGCCAACTTCACGGCCTTTAGACGTGTGCTGGAGGAATTGTACAAAAGTACGATTCAAACCGTTTGTGGTCTCGATGAGTTTTTTGGTCTTCTTGACGAGCTCTTTCGGAACCGTCAACGTCTTACAGGAAAAGGATAACGATCCCGCTCCGTCAGAGGCGTAATCCTGTCCATTTACAGCAGTTTTTTCTCGTTTGCCATGCTTGTGTTTACGATCTTCGCGCTTCGTCTTGTCTCCGTCTCCCTTGGGCTTTCTATAAGACGATTCCAGATTGAGCAAAATCTTCTCACAGGTTTTAACAAAGTCCTGCAGCGGCTCTGGGCGGCACACATAGCAGTGCCATTTGCTTTCTTCATTCATGATTTCAGACAGCTCTTTTCGTCCAAGGTTCCTCAAAACACACTTTTTGCAGAAGGCATTGCTGCAGTAGTCACAGCACATCAGATTACCCCCCTCTGCACACCACCTAAAAAAGACATAACATCCATTAAATCATTAAATTTCCCTTTTGGAACTGACTGCTCTTTTTCTACACTCTATTTGAGTAACAAAGTAGCTCATTTGACTGTGAAAGATCTACTAAAGACACTATTAGTAGCCAGCAAGAGTTGTAAGTTGTAATATGAGAATGGCTCCAGTTCAAACAAAGACATCGGAGCAGTGTTCAAAACATGGA